GTTTTCTCTGTATAGTCTGGTTTCCTGAAACTCACTCTGTAGACCAGGCTGGCCTCAAACTCACAGACATCCGCCTGCCTCTGCATCCCAATTTGGGATTAAAGGTGCTCAGTGCCATGCCTGGCAAAATTAAAAAGAAAGAAAACAACAAACTATTATTAAAAAATAAAAACTAGCCGGTGTTGATGGCACATGCCTTTAATCTGAGCATTTGGGAGGCAGAGGCAGGCAGATCTCTGTGAATTTGAGGCAAGCCCAGTCTACAGAGCAAGTTCTAGGACAACCAGAGCTGTTATACAGAGAAACCCTGTCTTGAAAAAAAAATTTTTTTTTTAATTAAAAAAAAAAAAAAAAAGCAACTGAACACCCATGTGAGTGGGAGTGTGTGTCGAGTGCCTATGACCCCAGCACTCAGGAGGTAGAGGAAAAGGCTTTTTGATAATTTGAGGCCCCAGCCAGGGCTGCACATTGGGTAACCCTGTCTCAAAAATAAAAAATTAAACGGAATCTGCATCAGGTGTCCTAGGAGACTTTGGTAAACAAAGCACTGTGCAATTCTTTTCCTCCTTTGGGGCTCATTATGTATCACGGCTGTGCATAGCAAGTTTAAGGTCTGTTCCCAGTACCATTGCAAATCCCCTCCCCAGCAAGCTGGTTTTATAGGCATCCAGTGAGAGGTGACAGTGAGGGTCGTGAGGACTCTCCTCTCACACCTTGTCTTGGATTTGGCACCCAAGCCACCTAAGAAGTTCTGTAACGACCAACCCCTCCTGTGAACTTCTGTACAGATCTGCCCTGGCCATTTTCACAAGTTGTCAGGCGAGCTGATGTCATATGCCCAGTGGACTGGCCTCTTCTGACCTGTGTTTTTTTTTCTCTCTCTCTCTCTTTCTTCTCTCTTCCCGTTTGTTACCTCTCCAACTTTTTCGTGAAGCTTTCTCTCAAGCTGGTAAGCACAATGCCCCCCATGCATGCCCTTAGTCTAATCGGGTTTCTGATATGTGTTGTGGATGCTATGCCTCCAACATTAACTGCTCACATTCTTTTCTCCTTCAGGCGCCTTTGTTGGTGTCTGTTTGACCTCTGGATGTGTGACTGTCTTATTCACTAAGAGAATTAATGCTTGCCATGATTTGGTTTTCCTTACCGTGGGGACCTTATGAATATGCCAAGCATTGGTCAACTGCTTATATTCATCTGAATGTAAATGTCAGAAATGGGGGGGGGGTCCTACTGGACCAATTTAAATAGTTGGAAGGTACTCCTTTATGGGAGCCACTAAAGGAGACACTGGGGAGGCAGAGGCAAACAGATCTCTGTGAGTTCCAGGCCAGCCAGGGCTATTTGGAGAGACCCAGTCTCAAAAACAAAACAAAATAAAACAAAACCAACCAAATAAACAAAAAACCACAACAACAACAAAAGAACAAACACTGGGAGCCTGAAGGAGACACTCAAGTGTGTGTCATGCCTGCAGTGATGGCTTGGATTTTGGGTAGGAAAGACCAATGGGAAGAGAGAGACCTCCTGGGGGCCTGAACAGCTGTCTGGGTGCCTTGGGTAAAGGTGATTCCAGAGGCCACAGATGCTCTGATGGACAAAGGGAAGCCCCTCGCCCATCCTTGCTTAAGCTCTCTACCTAATGTCTGCCTGTCTTGCTTTCCCTTTACGGTGTAGCTCTCATGAACAACAAGAGTAATTGTTCAATTTATTAAAAGAAAATCCTAACCAACATAACCCACTATACTTTAAGAATGAATGAGGGCTGTGTATCCGTTGGGGACACAAAGCCTTCACCAGCTTGGGAGTAAGTTGTTGCTTCCATGCCATTCCTTTGAAGTCAGTGAAAAAGTGAAACGTGGGTAGGGGCTATCAAGATGCTCAGTGGGTAAGAGCGCCTGCCCTTACAAGCATGAGGGCTCCATCTGAAAGAACAGGTGTGGCAGTGTATGTACCTGTCATCCCAACACTGAGGGGCGGAGAGGTGAGTTTCAGAGGGAGCACACTGGACAGGCAGCCTCCCTGAAAAGCCAGTCTCCTTACAAGGCTGTAGAGTGAGAGAGAGGAAAACAGCTGATACCCTGCTGGAGTGACACCTTGAGGACACACACCTCTGCATACCCATGTGCATGGACCACAAATGGGCACACAGATGTGAAATATTAGGTAGGAAATGGGTTAACTGTAAAAGCAAATAGCTGGAGGGTCTGTTTTACCCAGGACTTATGCCCAGGAGCAATGTAGGTGTCATCCTGAGATGAAGGAAGGCTGAATACGGAGCCCGCCTTCCATGGCTGGTTCCACTATTCTGAAAACTGGGCCACTCCAGCCACGTCAGAGACATCCCCACTGACTCAGAGCTAGAAACAAGAAGCCCATCTCCACAAAATGAGTCACCAGTCAGCCTTGTTTGAGGAAATGTAAACTTCGAAAGCCTAATTGGGTGAGATGCCCTTTCTAACGATCCTAAGTTTCTATGGGAAGTTGCTGACCTGAATCTCCATAGTAACCAAGGTTTGAGGCTTTTCCAGTGACTTGTTTTCAAGTAACAATGCTATTTGAATAGCCAGGGTAGCTACTGAAAGGGACCTGGCTGGTCAGTTAGGTTGCTACTTTATGAATTGAAGATAATGTGCGGGTCAGTTAGGTTATTTTGTCATGAGGAACCAGTGCTGTCTCTTCTGTGGCTAGCCACAAGTCACCAGCCCAAAGTGTTCCTTACAGGTGTTGCTTCCGATTAGATGCCATCCAAGCCTTACACCTGTTCTAAATGCATTCAAAAGATTCAGGTCATCACTAAAGCATCCACGTTCAAGAACAGTCTCCTGAAGCTACTTTCCCGGACACTGTAGCCACAGAATGTTTCCATCATCACAGACCAGTGACTTGTATTGAATTTTGTTACATCCTAGATTTATAAACAAACAAACAAAAAACCAAAATATCAGCACTGGGAAGATGGGTCCAAAGGTGAAAGTATTTTAAGCCCAAGCCTAAATTCCCAGAATCTATAGAAAAGCCCGGCCCCCAGCAGGCACGTCTGTAATACCAGTGCCTGGTGGAGAGGTAGAGTATGCAGTGGATAAACAGCCTAGAGACACTGTCTCAAACGAAGTGGGAGATAAGGACCCATGTGTCTGTGTGTGTGTGTGTGTACGTGTGTACAGTCTCAGTCCATGAAATAAGTATCAGGATCACCAAGATGTGTCAGGGGCAGGGGTACTTGGCTCTAAGCCTGATGACCTTGAGTTCCATTTCAGAGACCCACATGGTTGAAAGATGGAGCCGACTCCCACGGATCATGTAATAGATAAAAATTCAAGCTGAATGCTTGAATAGAGTGAATACAAAGGAAGACACTGAAGTTTTCAGATAGTGGGCATGGGGGTGGGAAACTTCCTCAGCCACTGTCACACTGGGGGAACTACTCGCTGCTGCTTGGCTTCAGACCCTTGCTTGGCTTGGTGACAGAAATGCCTCCCTCCTACCCCTCGTCTATCACACACACTCAGGGTGTCTCGGGAAGGGGCTCTGATCTCCTCCTGACCTAAGAGGCAAATATTTGCTGACTCATGCACTTGCCAGCCTAGCCATCTTCCTCATAATCGGCCTACAAGCTTCTGTCACAAGTCCCTGGGTAAGCTACTTGGCAAATTCCAGTGGATTCCAGAATCACATTCTCTGGGTCCCCTTTCTTTTCGCCCCCTTGTTTGAAAAGAATTGAGGTTTTCAAGTAAAATCTCTCTTGTAACTTTCCTGGCTTTCACTGGGCCCATTGAATACATTTCATTCTTTATGAAGACAGCCTCATTTAAGGAAAAACTCTTGGCTCTGCAGCAATGAGGTGGTCCTTGGAGAGAGACCAGCTCCTGAGGTCTTCTCTGAAAGCACATACACAAAGGCAAGAGTGCAGTGGGATTCTAAAGAGGGCCCCAGGCAGGTGTGGTAGCAGGTATGGTGGCTCCTATCTGCAGTGCTGGCATAGTCTGAAGGGTTGCTTCCACCTGGGGGGCCAACTGGTCCACACAGCGAGTACCAGGCTAAGCCAATGCTAAAAACTGGAGGCGGGGGAAAGAGGACTGGAGAGATGGCTCAGGAGTTAGGAGAATGTACTGTTCTTGCAGTGGGCCCAAGTTCCCAGCAGTCACATCATGTGGCTCACAACCACCTACAACTTGTCCCCGGGGAAATCTCATGCCCTCTTCTGGCACCAAACACATGTGCGAGCACACACACAATTTTAAAACAAAATCTTTTAAATTGGGGAAGGGGACCAGGAGCCAGATGTGGTGGTTCACACCTATAGTCCCAGTACCTGGAAATCCAAGGCAGGAGTGAGTCTGAGACTGTAGCCCAGTGGGAAATGTTTGTCTAGTAGACATAGGCCCCAGGTTCAGCCCTGCAGAAAGAAAGGGGGGTGGCATTAAAACATATCCCTGACAGTAAAAGCAGAGGAGGTTGGTTTTGTACACTGGGAAGTAATTTTGGGGTCCCAAAGTCAGTGAAGGACCAGTAACACTGGATGGGGATGACATGGTTTTTATCATATTTTCGTTCACATTTTTTTTCTCAACGGAAAGTGATAGCCTGCATGTCATTTCACAGGATGGGAACTCCACCTCAGCCTTGAGAGGGGAGACGGGAAGGAATGCTTCAATTAAGGGAAGAGTAGAGGTGAAAAGAGGAGATGCAAATGGAGTAGTCTCTAAGTTTGTCTATGGACTACCTTCCGAGTCAACCCATTTCCACACCTGTTTCCTCAGCCTCTCCCTGGAGCACGGGTGCTCTGGCCTTTCCTGTGCTGCTCTGACGCTTGTAGATGGCAGGCAGTGGTTGGCAGGACTTCTGACATTTGCATGTGTTTGGTTTTCACATCTCAGCTGGTGTGGTGGGGAAGCATAGCTGGTTGTGGGAAGCCTCTGCAGGCCTGTAGGCTTGGTTTGCCTCCCACCCAGGAACCTCAAGACTTTCTGGCCTCTCATTTATGCTTGTGTCTGCAGGGTGCGACACCAGAAGACTTCAGCAATCTCCCCCCTGAGCAGAGAAGGAAAAAGCTGCAACAGAAAGTTGATGATCTCAATAAAGAGATCCAAAAGGAGACGGATCAAAGGTAGGATGGGTCACTGTACCCGGTCAAACAACTCAGGCTCAGTTTGGAAAGAGAAAATCTGAAAATTGTGTGTGTGTGTGTGTGTGTGTGTGTGTGTCCTAAAAGGGCAGAAGAGGTTGTCAGAACTCTTGGAACTGGAATTATAGTCATTTGTGAGCTACAAGATACTGGTGTTGGGAACCAAACTTCACTCCTCACAATAAATCAGTTCTTCTTAAATGCAGTGTCTTCTCTTCGGCCTCTAAAATGGATAGAGGCATTATTTTGGCAGGTGTTTTTGTCTGTTTTCTCATTGTGTGCTGGGTTTATCTGTAGATGTTGTATTTCAAGTCTGGAGAACAAAATGCACTTTGCTTCCATATTTCCCTTTTGTCCTGAGTGAATGGGTGTGTTTTTGTTTTTCTGCTCCAGTCAGTAGTAGGAAGATTATTGGGGTCCCAGGGTCATGGGCTGGATAGGCCACCTCAGACCCACTCAGCCTTGGAGCACAAATGTTGTGTGACTGCACTTCTGGCAGCTGTTGAGGCATAGGGTGTAGGTGTTTGTAGCAGATCATCTTATCTCTGTTGTATTACTGAGCAAGTTGGTAAAGGGACAGCTCAATTATGCCAAGATGCAGGCGCAAGGTTCAAGGTGAACTCTTTCTGGATATTACAGTCATACGATACACAGCCATCCTCCAACTGCTTGCCCTCCAGTATCAGCCCCTGCTGGTCCAGAAGGATGCTTTCCTGGTCTCCCTCTGCCCTGACTTTCTCAATCCACCTCAAGGGTGAAGTTCTATATGTTAGCATTGGTTAGGTTTCCTTGATGCAGGCTGAGGCAGGCAGATCTCTGTGAGTTCAAGTCCAGCCTGGTCTACAGATCTAGTTCCAGGATAGCCAAGGCTACACAGAGAAACCCCCCTCTCTCTGTCTCTCTCTCTCTCTTTCTCTCTCTTTCTCTCTCTCACCTATATAGGTTTGGAGCCTGTCCCGGAGCTAGCTCTGTAGACCAGAATGGCCTCAAATTCATAGAAAACCATCGTCCTATGCCTCCTGAGAGCTGGAATTAAGGTGTGCACCACTATTGTCTGGCTGAAAAACCATGTCTTAAAAAACAAAACAAACAAAACATGGAAATCTTATGTATTAATGTAGTATCCTGAAATTGTGGCATTTGTTTTGAGAGTGTATTTAAAAAACAAAACAAAAAAATCATTAAAGCTATGGTTGTGGAAAGAAATTCATAGCTCTTGATGTATACTCCAAGGTTAAAAGGCTATACGTAATGGGACAAATCTGTTGTCCCATCACTGAAAAGGATGAGGCAGAGGGTCACAAGTTCAAGGCCAGCCTGAGCTAGATTATGAGCCTCAAAACCAATAGGAATAAAAATTGTTCGGCTGTTGAGAGCACTTGCTGTTCTTGCAGAAGACTGGGTTTCAGTACTTAGCATACCCAGTGGCTCTCAATCACCTTTAACTCCAGTTCCAGGGGATCTGATGCCCTCTTCTGGTCTCTGTGAGTACTGCACACAAGTGGTGCATATTCAGAGATTCAAGCACACAAACACATACATAAATTTTAAAAAAGTAAGTAAAATCAGCTGGGCATGGTGGTGCACACCTTTAATCTCAGCATTCCGGAGGCAGAGGCAGGTGGATCTCTGAGTTTGAGGGTAACCTGGTCTACATGATGAGTTCTAGGACAGCCAGGGCTACACAGAGAAACCCTGTCTTGAAAAACACAACAAAACAAAAACTAAGTTCAAACAAACAAAAAAGCAAAAGTCAGTTAACTGAGGCACCTCCTCATGCAATTACAGAAGGGACAGCAGGTTGAGGTCAGTCACCACAGACTGGAGAGAGAAGGCATGTGGTAGGAATCCGAGGCAGGAGGGTTGCAGACCAGTGAGGCCCACCTGCACTACAGAGTGAGACCCTGTCTCCAAAAAACAAGCACCACACCAGGTGACTCATAACTCAATGACTCCAGCTCCAAGAGGCTCTGATGCTCTGACTTCAGTGGGCACTGGCATTCATGTGGGCACACACCTTCCATACATAACTGAAAATAATAAAAATAAGTTTTTTTTAAAAAAAGGAAAGCCGGGCGGTGGTGGGACATGCCTTTAATCCCAGCACTCAGGAGGCAGAGGCAAGTGGATCTCTGAGTTCAAGACTAGCCTGGTCTAAGGGCAAGTTCTAAGACTGCCAGGGGCCACAAAGAGAGACCCTGTCTTGAAAGCCCAACAGAGAAAATCATGCTGTTCAACAAAGGGCCTCCAGACACAAAAGTGTGGTTCCTTAAGGACTTCAGCAAAGTTAGGGCTGGGGAAGCAGCTCAGTAGGACCCTTTGCAAGAGAACCGAGTTGCCTGTGTAAAAGTCAGGCACGGTGGCATAGGTCTGTGACCCCATCACTGGCCAACTGGTAAGAGACCCTGACTCAAAAAATGAGGAGTGGCTGGAACAATGACTCTACCCTTTAAGCCCCAGCTGTGTAATCATAGAACCAAAGTTCAGATTCCAGCACCCCAAAAAGCATGTCCAACATTCCACAAATGCCTCTAACCCAAGCTCCAAGGTGGGCTGTCCACAGGATCTCTGGAACTTGCCTCAAAGGGACAGGTGGAGAGTGAAGGAGACACATGACTGTCTCTGTGGCCTCACACAGGCATGCTAACCTATGCACTTTCACACACAAATAAATGGATACTTTGTTTTAAAAGAAAGGAGTAGGTAGACTAGAGCTAGATGAAGACACCCAATGTGACCTGCATGCGCGCGCGCGCACACACACACACACACACACACACACACACAGAGTAAAATCAGTGCACTTTTGAAGAAATTAATCAGAGGAGACCATGAGGAGAAGGGGTGACCTCATTAGGTAGCCCAGGCTAGCCTCCAGTTTGAGCTCCTCCTGCCTTGGCCTCCTGATGCTAGGATCACCAGTGTGTGTCACCAACGACAGCAGGGTAATGGATATTAACAACCACTTTTAACATTCCAGAGAAATATTGGTAAGGGGTGATGGAGGCCTGTGACATCCCATGGGGTTTTGTTAAGGACAATAGGCTTTTCAGTCAGAGAAAACCTCTACTGGCTCAGGCCTCAGTCTCCATGTTGTTCCTGTTCTTTCTCAGGGATGCCATCACTAAAATGAAAGATGTGTACCTGAAGAACCCTCAGATGGGAGACCCAGCCAGCTTGGACCACAAACTCGCTGAAGCCACCCAGAACATAGAGAAACTGCGGCTAGAGACACAGAAGTTTGAGGTATGGAGAGCAGGCGCTAAGGAAGGAGCAGGAAGGGGAAGCTGCCTCTGGGCAGGCCATGGGGTTTCCCAGGGTGACCTCAGAGCCCTGGGATTTATTTAGTCAGATGAAGTATAGAGTAATTTACCTGTGATTACATGGCTGCCCAAGAGTGTGGCCCAGCGGTGCCTGCTTTCCACCATGTGGGGGTGACTGGTAAATTTGGTGGACAAGGGCCTCCCTACCACTTCCCCAGCTTTGCAGGAGAAAGAAGCAGTTTCCAAAGAATCCACATGTATAGCCAGCCATTGCATGATGGTCTGAGACATCGGCCAAGCCTTCATACATCAGTGACTGTCTAGTCCTGAGTTAAGGCCTGACAGCTCATGAGTGAGCCTAGGCTAGCCCAGGTCCAAGTCTTCTGTGGATTTTGCTTCTAGGCCTGGCTGGCTGAGGTGGAAGGCAGACTCCCAGCACGGAGTGATCAGGCTCGCCGGCAGAGTGGAATGTATGACGGTCAGACACACCAGACAGTCACTAACTGCGCCCAGGACCGGGAGAGGTACAGTACCTGTGAGACCCTGCCTCAGCAGAGGGGCAGTCTTGCTTTGTAATTACTTCTAAATTCTGGACTCTCACATGAACATCCGGCAAGAGTGTCTGTTCCCATCACTTCTGATTCTTACCACATGAAAACAGCTCAATTTACCCTCCAGTCTGGGCTGGTGCTCTGAGGTGGCCTCACTCCTTGGTGGTGGGGGCAGCCCTACATATCTCCAGGTTGGTCGCTATAGTTGCCGTGTATCTTCCTCTCTTGAGCAGCCCGGATGGTAGTTACACAGAAGAGCAAAGCCAGGAGAGCGAGCTCAAGGTGCTGGCCACAGATTTCGATGATGAATTTGATGATGAGGAGCCACTTCCTGCCATCGGGACTTGCAAGGCCCTCTACACATTTGAAGGTACGTCTGACCCTGCTCTCCTGGGGATCAAAACACTCTCTCCTTCTCTCTCTCCCTCCCTCCCTTCCACCCTCCACTTCCCTCCCTTTCTCTCTCCCTCTCTCATATATATGTTAAAACCATAGAAAAATTATTGATTTATTTTATGTGAAGGGTATTTTGCCTACATGTGTGTCTGAACCATGTTAGTGCCTGGTGCCTGTGGAAGCCAGAAGAGGGCATCAGATCCTCTGCAACTGGAGGTACAGATGGTTGTGAGCCACCATGTGGGTGCTGGGAGCCAAATCACAGTCCTCTGCAAGAACAGCCAGTGCTCTTAACTACTGAGCCATCTCTCCAGCCCCAGTAAAAGAATTTTTAAATAAACAAGATGGAAAAATAATAACCAACCTGACATCACAGCCTCTCCCCACGCCATACACTGTACATTCACACACACACACACACACACATACTTACATACACACTCACACACAAACACACACCTCATCCACATACAAACACACACACAAACATACACTCACACACGCAATCTACACACTGCAATCTCTCTTTTTCACAAACACACATAACACAGAAGGAAAGTAGTGTACCTGGCTGAGAAAAAGGAGTGTTAGCTTTTCCTTGACCCACATTGAGGAGGTGCTGATGGTTTTAAGCTGCTGACAGGAACGTCATTGTCCCTGGGTGGGGTCAGCCAGGAAATGGGGTGGGCCATCAGTGCTGCGCCTCTACCCTGTGTGCCTGGACATGATGCTGCCCAGAAAGTTGCAGAGAGTGCTCTGAGAGAAGTGGAAGCTCTAGGACAAGTGATTTGACACAGGATTCTCAGAGCCTTTGGGATCCATGTACCAGGTGATGTCACCCCACTCTCAACACAGACACACACAGTGACCCTGTTGACAGCTCCTAAACCATGTGCTGTGACGAGACGCCCAGGCAGTGAGCAGCTCAGAGGAGACAGGGTTTACGCTAGCTCACAGTTCCAGGTCCCCGTCATCATTTCAGGGACCCAAGACGGAAACTTGACACAGCTGGTCACACCCACAGCCAGGAGATGAAGGCACATGCTAAGCCAGCTTCTACCCTTACACAAAGTCGAACTTCCAGGTGCCACCCATTTTCAGGGTAGGCCTTCCCACATCAGTTGTGGTGGTTAAGACAGACTCCCACAGGCCCAGTGGTGTTTGGCACACCTTCAGTCCCAGCACTTGGGAAGCAGAGGCAGGTGGATCTCTGTGAGCTCGAGGCCAGCCTGGTCTACAGAGTGAGTTCCAGAATAGCTAGGGCTACACAGAGAAACCCTGTCTTGGAGGAAAAAAACAAAAATGAAACAACAACCTCCCATAGATAGGCCCACAGTCCAGTCTGCTGTACAGATCCTCACTGACCTCTTCCCGGGTGGCTTTAAGTTGAGTCAAGCTGACAAAGAGAACCATTGCACACTCCCAAAGCTGGTCTAGAGGTGTGGTTTACTTTTAAATGACATCAGAGAGTTGTCACCAAAAAGAAAAAGAAAAAAGGGCTGGAGAGATGGCTCAGCAGTTAAGATCACTGACTGCTCTTCCAGAGGACCCAAGTTCAATTCCTAGCACCAACATGGTGGCTCACAACTGTCTGTAACTCCAGTTCGAGGACCCAACATCGATGGCAAAACACCAGTGCACATAAAATATATGTATGAAGAGAGAGAACTGTCTGGGGGCGTTGGCTAAGGGGAAGACACAACTGTGTTGTGACTGACAGAGCTGAGCAGAGAGGAGGAGAGCCAAGGCTAGCCCAGTAGCTCATCCTTGGGTCCTCAGAGGTGCCCTGGGGAAAGAACAGTAGGAGTGTGCTGGTGAATCCAGACCTCCTGAGCTGTTTCCAGGGGCTAGGGACACCAAGAGGGGACCGCCCTGAGCCAGCAGGAAAAGCAGAACCACTTCAGAAAATGCCAGAAGGTGGAAAGAGACGAGGGCCCTGCTAGAAGGTGCTGCCGAAGCTGAGGGAGGACCCTACCCCGCCCTGCCCAGGAGAAACCCTGAGAGGAGTGGACCAGAGGGGCAGAGGTTCACCAAGGCCTGTGGGGAAGTGTGTGTGTGTGTGTGTGTGTGTGGGTCCTCAGGGGATCTAAGGAAGGGTCCACAGCCAGGAGAAGGAACCTAGAGACACGCAGGAGGAAGAAAACCGCCAGGCAGTGCAGGGGACCCAGGAGGACACTGCACTGACTTCACCTTGCAGTATGTCATTTCGAGGGCCCCCCCAGCACCTCATACCCCACTTTCCTTCTTCAGGTCAGAATGAAGGCACCATATCTGTGGTAGAAGGAGAAGTGCTGAGCGTCATCGAGGAGGACAAGGGCGATGGGTGGACTCGTATTCGCAGAAATGAAGATGAGGAGGGCTATGTCCCTACCTCCTACGTCGAAGTCTATTTAGACAAAAACGCCAAAGGTGCTAAGACTTATATTTAACCCACTTAAAACAAAACAAAAACCTTTAAAGGCATTGGAGTTGTCTCTCCCACCACTTTGGCTGTTATAGGCCTTCAAGAGGCCAGCAGAGGAGAGCAAGTGATGCAGACACTTGGGAAACTGGGGGCATCTCATGCCTGAGTTTGCTTGTCCGACTTGACTATGTGCAGAGCTGCCACCGGCCTGCTTACAACTGTGTCGTTTGAAATCTGATCAGTGTTTCTATTCCAAATATGTAGGTTTTTTTAAGATGTATGGTGGTGGATCATGCCCGTAATCCTAGCACTCAGGAGGCTGAGTCAGGAGCAATCCCACCCAGTTTCAGGCTAGCCTGGGCTACAGAGTAAGACTCAGTAAAAAATAAGAGTTACATTTGTTACTTCATCTCCCAGCACTTGAGTAAAGACTGTAACATTTTCTTGGTGCCCACCCTGCTGAGGTCACTCATGTTACCCTTTTATTGTCTGAGTGTCCCAAAGAACCAACAGGTGTCCAGAAAAGTGTACTTCTTGCGCAGTTTGACTTGACATTACAGTTTTCTGGCAGCACCTGATGGGCCTAGGCTGATGGTGGGGTGTCTTCAAGCTGTTGAGGCGGGTTTGTGCAGCAGCCACATGCCCAACATCCCCAGTTCTATTTCTGTCAGAAGGTTTGCTGTAGGCAGTGGCCCCTGCTTGTCCCTTTTTAAGGAAAAGACTTTTCTTTCTTTCTTTTTAATCTCTGGCACCTACAAGAGCCAAAGTTTGAATTTACTAGACATCATTTTTAGGGTTCTTAGTACATTTGATCTGGCTGACTACAGCCAGAATAAAATAAATGGTCTCCATGTTTTAAAGGAATGTGGGCCATGTGGGAATTTGCATTTTTAAGTCATTGCTGATATTGGAGGGGAGAGAGTGACACTGGTCAGATGCAAAGTCGGTTCAGAACTGAATTGTGTTCATCATGACCTCAGGGTCACCAAGAAGCCCCATCTGTCCACATCTGATCCTTTTGTTTTTGTTTGAGACAGGGTTTCTCTGTGTAGCACAGGCTGTCCTGGAACTTGTTCTGTACACTAGGCTGGACTCACAGAGAGCCACCTGCCTCTGCTTCCCAAATGCTGTGATTAAAGGTGTGTGCCACCACCACCCAGCTCACATCTGGTTCTTTCTTTTTGACTTTGGGAATTATTTTTAAACAGGAAAATAGCTCTTTGCTTCTATATTAGGGGCTCATTTTTATAAACTGTTTTGTTTGTTTGTTTTTTAATATGGTTGGGGATGAGATTAGACTATGTGCATTCTGGCAAGCTCACTACCACTGAGCTGTAACCCAGCCCCTACAATGACTCTAAAAGTGACAGCCATACATCTATCCTGAGGCAGTTTCAAGATTCTGGCAATAATTTCACAAGGGCCTGTGAGGTGTCATTGAGCAAGCTTTACTTACAGACAGCCTGGCTCTTGGAGTTTTTGAGTCAGTGTTTTCCATTGTAGCCTAGGCTAGCCTTGAACTCTGTCCCCTTACCTCAGCTTGTGATTGTTGAGATAAAGGTAATATTTTGAAGTAGTAACTGGCTCTTAGCAGTTACAAAAATGGAACAAAGAAGCTATATGCTCTTCCCCAAGACCCTAGCAGCCATAAACTCACAGTCTAGTACAGTCTCAGAAATAGGAAGTAGATCCAGCCCACCTGTTTTCATTGCACATTAATTTTGTAATTTGTATTTCGTTTGAGTAACTTTGCTGTCACCTGTATTTAAAGTCAACCATTGTGGGGTCCTTTCAGGTGATTAGCCTTCTGGGTGTAATGGAGGGGTTTCCCTCAGGTTTGTGCAAGTTGGGATGGGGGAAGCATCAGTTTGGATATACATTTGTGATCACAGTCTTAAGTGTGTGCTATTGAATTGAACCTTAGCATCCTAACAGAAGAACGGGACCAACATTGACTGCCCTGAGTGATGCATTATGGTTTCCATCTCCTCAGTGGTGAATAATAAAAAAATCCTTCCAGTAGTTTGCTGTTAGAAAAGAGAGACTGGAGGTGTGGCTAAGGGAAGGTGGCTCAGCAGATACAGGGATTTGTTCCCAAGCCTGGTGAATAGGACTCATGTGGTTGAAGGGAAGGACCAACTTCCAAAAGTTGTCCCCTGACTTTCCTACACCATGGCACATGTGCACACCTCCACAAAACACACAGAACTCAATGTAAGAAGCTAGAAAGCCAGGCAGTGGTGGTGCACACCTGTAATCCCAGCACTCAGGAGCCAGAGGCAGGTGGATCTCTGTGAATTTGAGGCCAGCCTGGTCTACAGAGTGAGTTCCAGGCCAGCCAGAGCTACATAGTGAGACCTTGTCTCAAAACAATAGAAAATAAATAGAGTGAGAGCTAAACAGTTTGTAGCTTTTTCCTCTTATCAGGAAGGTATAGCTGAAATTAACAGCCACTTGGGAGCTTCCCGCCTAGCCTCTCCCAAACCCTGCCTTCCTGCTTCCAACCCGTGTGGGCCCAGCTGCTGCTCCCTGCCTCCCAGGAACTCAAAGAAGCTCTTGGATTTTGGAGAGGGGGGTGGTCCAGACAGGGTCTCTGTGTAGCCCTGGCTGTCCTGGAACAGACCAGACTGGCCTCAAACCCAGAGATGCCTGCTTCTGCCTCCAGGATTAAAGGTGTGTGCCACCACTGCCCAGCTGCACCTTTTGGATTTTTATAAAATAATGCCAGGGCACTTTCTTTGTGTGTGCGGTTATCTGTGACATACTTAAACATTGCCAAAATACTAGAGTACTCTGAGCCTCTTGGGGCAGTGTTGCTTTTCACTTCACTTTCTGTTGAACGTGTCTGTAATCCTGCTCTGCAGGGTATATTTGTATATATTACAATTTGAAAACTAAACGGATTCTTCAAACAGTGTCATTTTAGTCTTTTACCTGTTTTATTTGTTATTCTTTTGCCTAACCACTTTTTGTTTTTATAACTACTGGGGAGGCCCCTGGACTCTTGCACTGTAGCTAGGTCCCCCGGCTGGCTGCTGCGCATTTGAGTTTATTGTACCCCCCCTGGGCTCTGAGTAAGTTGCTCAAATACAGCTGTCATGATTGTTTCTTTCTATTCTCACCTAAGAGAAAAGAATCTCTGCCTGTCATCCTCCAGTTGTGCCCTCGTATCTGCCTAGCTAATAAATGTTATTATTTTTCTCAGTGCTGTGTATTTTAAGTGATTTTTCTCTTTTTCCAGAACATTTTTCTCTGTAATAAATATTTAACTCCTTTATCTCTGGTACTGAGGAATTTTCCAGCCAAATGCTTTTTTTTTCTTTCTGGCTCCCTCTTCTTACCCCTCTTGTTCTCAGGGCTTGAAGCGTCTGCTTTTCTTGTGTCTTCTCTCACCTCTGGCATGAAGAGCTTTCACTGCACAATGAGGCATGGCAGCCTTAGACTCCCCTCTTGCCAAAGCAGTCTGTCCTTACTGCAGAGACCTACAGTTGCGATGGGAGAGAGAATTTGCCCTTCAGCTTCCTCACACCATCTTGGACAAATTGATCTTCTTTTGGTCCAGAGATGGGACCAGCTAAAGATGGGAAGTAAGAGTCATGCCAGAGTGTGGGAAATAGAAACAGAAGGACATGAGTTCAAGGTCATCTTCAGCTATTTAAAGAATCTGAAGTCACCCTGGGCTACATGAGAGCCTGTCTCAAAACAAAAGATAAAAGCCTCAAAAGCTCTCCATGGTAGAGACACTCTGGTAACCAGTTACTCAAATCCCTACCCTTCCCCTCAAGGCAAGCAGTTTGCCAGTGGCAAAATGCCTGCCTCTCACCTGCGATTTTCTCTAATCCGGGGCTTTTCTTCTTTCTTTTTGTGTTATAGGTTCCTAAAGGCAGTGCACATGGCCTGAGTTGCTCCGTGAGCCTCCCCAGGAGCCACCATCATCCAGCCCACTTGTCCCCACAGGCCTCCAGCATCACCCAGGCTGGCTGGGCATCCTCCAGCTCATCTGCAAGCTGGGTCCCCCATGTCCCACCTCCCCTTCTCTTCACAGCATGCTTCCATGGCTCTGCCATTCCCTCTGCCCATTGTATTGGCAGGGGTTGGCCATCCACTCCAGTCCCCACCCACATATACCACAAAGACAGCTGGACTTGTGCCCATGTGTCCCTACTCCTTCTGTGCTCCCAGTCCACCTGCAGATTACCTGGCCAGTCCTTGCACATTTCACACCGTGCCTTTTTGTCAGCAGTCACCACTGGTTTCCTGGGTGACTTCCAGAATCCAGACAAGGAGAGCCAGTCATGCATTGGGTGGACTGAGCACCCACCAATCTCCCATGTGTCTCTTGGGACATCAGCAAACAGTATCCTTCTCTCCAGAGGCTGCTGCCTCAGCCCCTCCTGGTCACCCATCCTCCAACATCTCAGCACTGACACCTTCCATACTTCATCCCAGTGGGTCTATGGTGGGACTGGGGCGGGCAGCCCACCCCACCCCCACTCTGGTTCTAAACTGTCTACATGGCCTAGAAAGATCCACATTGAAGTCCCAACTGCAGCTTGTGGGCCAGCCCTGTTATCTTGCCTGTGTCTACCTTCTATGAGCACTGTCTGCCTGTTCGTGGCACCCTGTGATGGAGGGCCTCACACCCATTAGCCCTTACTGTGAGGTGGACCTGCCGAGTCCCATAAGTAGCATATGAGGACTCTACTGTGTTCCTCACCAAAGACCTTGTGCCTCTTGTGGTCCCTCTGGTGGCTCTGCAGCCACCATATCTGCATTTGTTCCTGGAAGCCCTGTAAAATGGATGGAGTTTGCTTTTGAAGCTGTTTTCTTCCTTGAATGATGGATTTGCTTGAGAACCAAGATGGTCATTTGCACCTTAGAACCGCACAGCCTCTCTCCCTTCCTGGTACAGAAGCACTCAAGACTTGGCCGTGAGCCCCTGTGAAGGGCACCCCGTTAGCACAAGCTTGAAAAACTTGGCATCCTCCTCTGGGCAGCTGGTAGCTTGGCATCATGTCAGAGGATCAAAGACATGGGAGTCTTACAAAGACCACAGAGATGGGACACAGAGACAGAAAGGGCAGTTCTTCAGGGTCTGGCCTGGGCTTTGTCCAGAGTTTGTGGAAATGCAGACATTCTCCACAAACTGGGGCTGGCACATCACCCTGCAGAACAGCACTGCCAACTTCATAGCAGAGGGTGGGTACCAGGGTGGGGAGCAGCAGGACAAGGGCCTGCCTTTGGGTTTCGAGAACAAGCAAGGATTAGCTTTCTGGCTTTCTCTATCCCTCCTCCTCCCAAGTAAGGCCAAGCCCAGGGTCCTGCACACTGCCCTCTGGAGCCCCTATGAAGCTGTTCCACAAACCACAGCTTCTGTTCCCCATAGCAGGTGTGCCCTTAGTCACGTGAGGAAGGATTAGTGAACAAAATGGAAGCCTGGTACCTAAGTGTGACAGTCAGTGCTTCAGCCCCAACACAGTTAATCAGACTGGGGTTCCTGCAGCCCAACTTCAGCAGGTCACCAGGCATCTATCCCCAGAACCTCAGATTTTCACCAAGTTGGGCTGACCACTGTCCCCTCCATGAGGAAGCTAAGTGGTTTTTACAGATCTCGGTAATGGGTGAAGGATGTGTCTCCCATCTTTTGGGTCAAGAAAGACTCTTGCCGCAAAGATAATGGATAAGCTGCCAATCCAAGACTGTTAAAGCCTCTGCCTGCTTTCCCTTCACTTCTAACTGCCTGTACTACCTACATCCAGAAAAGATGGAGGACAAGCGTCTTCCAGCTTGGTCTCTGAGATGCACGTTCTGCTGTGGGAATCCTGTGGAATCTTACCGGTTGTGGGAGGAGGGGTGCAGGTTTCCCCAGGGAGCTCTACACTCCCTCTTCCCCAGGAGCCACTGCCTGTCATCCCTAGCTGCTAGTGTGCTGTTACAAGAATGATTCACTGTAAAAGAACCTGCCCTGCAAATGACTTAGAGACAAAAATAAAAGGAACTTGACATTTATCTGTTATTTTTTTTCCTCCTACGCAGAATATGAAGCTATAATGACTCCTCCATCTAGGCTGAGCAGCTCAGCCAGTGGGATCAGCCTAATATTGCACAGGGGGCATCTAAAGCCTTCTGATGACACCTGTAGTGATAGCAGAATGTTCACACAAAGTCAAACAAATTCTGTTCCTGCCAGTAATTTTCCAGAAATTGTAGTCTGGTGTTTCTTCTTGATTCATGTCTCCAATAATGGCCTCTTTTAACATGACATTGAGCACCTTTTAAAACATGCATGGCGTGTGTGTGTGTGTGTGTGTGTGTGTGTGTGTGTGTGTGTGTGTGTGTGTGTGTGTGTGTGTGCGCGCGCGCCACCAAACTGCACTAATTCCTACCCTTGAGGGCCTGGCACTGTTGGGAAGGCCTTCACAGCTGTCAGGTTTTGGACTAGCCTGTGTCTCTGAGGTGGAATTAAAACCAAACAAAGTGTTTTCATTAGAAGGCTACTTTCAACCTTGTAATTAAATGTTAGTCCTTTCAATGTTAAATAAAATATAACTTCTGGCATATAGTCGCCCGGTTCTCTGGTTGCATGAAGAGATGACTCTGGGTCTGGGGAGATGGCTAAGTGGGTTAAGTGCCTGCTGAGTGAGAACAAGGACCTGAGTTCAATTCCCAGCACCCACATAAATAGCTGGGCATAGCAGTGAGAGCAGCACCCCCAACATGGGGCGGAGCAGGTGAGCCCCAGCCACCAACCGGACAGCTGTCTATGAGACCTTATTTCAGAAATTACAGAGGTGCATGCCATTAGCCCTGTTCTTAATACTGAGTCCAGACCAATAGGAAGGCAGAAAGGCAAGAGGATCTCCGTGAGTTCCAGGCCAACCTGGTCTACATAGTGAGTTTGAGGCCAGCCAGAACTACATAGTAAGACCCTACTTCAAAAGAGATGGGTGCCACATGCCTGGTACTCACTGGCTTTATTGTTGGAGGTCATGGTTCCACAGTTAGAACACTTCACCCTGTCTTCTCGGGGAAGGTGTGAACACACCTTCATTCCCTAAGGGTGTTTAGGGGTGCTTAGGGAAACGGTTGTCCACATTGAGAGAGATTAGCAGCCATACCAGGTATTGGTAGAGTGGCCCTGCTAACACCATGTCAGCACACTCCCCCAGGGGTCACCCACAGTGGGTGGAAGTAGCTTCCAAGAAAGCCGCTATCTGCAGCACCAGAAGGCTAACATTAGGACCAAACTTCTAAACAAGAAGTGGTAGCTGGATATGGGGGACACACACTTGATTGAAATCCTAGCACTCAGGAAATTGGGCACAGGAGAAGCAGCTCAAAGCTTGTCTAGGCTAAGAAACCATCACTCTCAATAGAGATGTGCTCAAAAAAAGGATAATTTTGGAATGCCATTTCCAGAATGTGCTTTGAAGACTTGGTTGTTCTCTCTGGAAGGAGTTTGTGGAACAGAGCCTGACATCTCTGTGGCTCCTCAGAACTGCCCTTGGCTGGGAGTGCTCTTAGCCTTAGGGTTAGTCACCCTTATAAGGCAGGCACCATGGCTACAAACCAGGAACTAGGCTGTGGTTCCTACTCTGGTACTGGGGTTGTAGAGAAGTTCCTAATTCACAGAATTGGGACAGCCACACACCCTTGGGTTGGGTGTCTACAGTATTCTGGAAATACCAGCTGGCCCAGGCACCCCAGCATCCAGCTTGCCCTGGCCACACCCAGGCCTCAGGCACCTTGTGAGGGAAGTTGCAACCCCTACCAGAAGAAGGCAGAACTGGACTAGCATCCCTAACCTGCAACTATGGAGGAAGCATCCCTCATCTTCCCCCACTACCTCCAATGTCAGCCTCATGCTTACTTACAGTAAAATTCTAGGATTGGGAGAGCCTCAGGACAGGGCAGCCCGCGAGTCACACTGTTAATCGCTGCTGCTGGTGATGGGCTGGCTAGACAGATGAAGGCAACTGAGTGGGAGCCCTTGCTTCTGTGCCTGGTGACCTGGACCCAGGGTTTTATCCCTGGGTTCCCACGTGGTGGAGGTGGGAGCTGACTCTGGAAGGTTATCTCCTGACCTTCACATGTACACAGTAGCATCCCAATCACACCACCCTCAAAATAAATGAGTTAAAAAACAAATTGCTGGTATCAAAGGTGAGCACTATGGGTCCTGGGAACGCAGGAGGTGGCTGGAC